ATATATATATATATACGAGTATATAAAGTTCCAACATGGACGCATAACAAGTTCAAATAGTTTGATAAAGTAAGCTATGATCAAATCCAAATGAAGGGTGGACGTAAAGGTCACGATGATCGCTAAACACACACAAATTGGAACGCGTAAAATACACCATATTTCGTGGCACATATTCTTACAGAGACCTTATTGTCATCTTTTGTCATACCACTTCGATGGAAACACAGGGAATAAGGTCAGATCTTGCGTACATTGTATGCATTCAACTAGTAGGGTGTAGCATAAGGAAACTCTCAGATAAATAAGGTCGTAAAAATTGGTGATTATAGAAACAACGACACATGAAAGGTGTACACGCGCGGGTGTGACGAAAGTGCACGCGAAGCAAAAGGGCCGGAGCAACAGAAGCAGAAAAGGGTATCATAAAGAATAGATTACTTTCTAAGTTGACTTCAAACACCATCCGAGGATTATCATTAAATTAAGGATTATGGATTTCTATCACATATGATAGAAAAAGTGCAAGCCCATCAGTACAACATGACCAACCTTGGAACCTAGTCACTTGGCCTGACGAAGCTTGTGTCAAAAGCGAAACGTTGCCCAGCAATAAATCTACCGATTGTCACTAAACCTTTTCGAAAATGATGAACACATATTTTTAGGAATATTTGCATTGTTATGCAACATCCATTCCAACGTGAGTCCATTCAATTAAAGCACTGGTGACCAACGGATAACACTCAGTGGGATAACTGTGATCGGGGGCAAAGATGGTACAAGTGAAAGTCTTATCTCTGGATGAGGCAGGCTTTGAAAGTGTCAACGGACATAAGTATTGGCAAATGTATTGGACAGAATTTGGAGATTCGATAAAATGCCCCGAAGTAAAGTGAGACAGCTTCAAAGCTAGAAGACCACCAGTCAGTGTGAAATGGTCACCGAACGAGAGGATTATGAGACAAAAGAAAATCAACGGGAGGATCAGGGCAAAAAAGCTTCCAGGTTCATTAGTGTCTGATCGGGACTGAACGAACCACACCCTTAGGACGAACACAGGAACCTAACAAACAAAGAAGACGGAAGTGCTTTCTTTTAGTTGCCGGATATAACGGAGTTGATTCATTCATTTGCACCTTCTCTCTCATTCCGTAATGTAAGCTTTGCATTAGACTGGCGGATAGCTGGCCGCAACACGAAATACTTGTCCACAACACTTCTCGGTTGGCGGAGTAGTCAATGAAGTCAATGAAGAAGTCATGAAGCGGGCGATGTTAGTGGAATTTTTCTTGTGGCCGTCGTGCAACAAACACCGGATCCATTGTGCTGAGACAAACACGTAATCCATGTAGTTCTTGTTTTTCGATCACTTAAGCTGCCATGCAGTCGAGTATCACTCGTATCAGAAGCTTGCCCGCGGGGCTCATCGGACTGATGCCTCTGTAGCTATCAGGTGAAGTTTTGCTTACCTTGCTTTCGTGACCTGGCATGATTAGGAGAGCGTTGAATTCCGGTAGTCAAAGAAATGCACTTTCTACAGTCGACCAGCAAGGAAGCAAGCCCTCTCCGGTTGCCTTGCCATTACCTTATTGTGAGTTCACCTGTAGTATCTCTTCTGTAGTCGGAGGAAGGACCATGAACAGTTTCATCTCCCGTGGAGGCAGTCCATCCATTACAGTTCAGCAGTTTGGTAAAGTGCTTACACCATAAATGCAGTAGTGTTGCAGGTAAAGCCTGCTTTAAGCACATGTCGGTTTGACGCTCGGTCCATGGATGATTTCAAGAAGATCGAAAAATTCCGTGTTGCAGTCCAGCCGCGAATTATTCTTTATGCTCACTATGAATTTTCCATCATTCTCCCTTAATGCGGATGAGTTGCAGAGTCAAGTCAATTCGGGCATGATTTTGGTTGCTGTTTCTTGACCCATCGTTGCGATAGGCGAGTAATTCGGAAAGTGCTGCGTTTTTCCTGGCCACCAACTGTTACACATGGTAGCTATTTTGATCAGACCAAGCAAGAGAATGGTCGTCGGTTTTCGGAACTGATTGAAGTAGGATACCACCTTTGACATAGTTGTCTTGGTGTTCCCCTGGTAGGAAATGTGACCAATCAATCTCACGTACAGTGAAGCAATACACGCATTGGTGCCACGGGGTTGCGTCGAGTATCTTCTTGGTGCGATTGAAAAGTGCAAAAAATTCCAGTTAGAATATGCAGCCGGAACCAGTATCATGAAGGCTTAGCTAGTAAGCCAGTTGCCTTCCGCCTAGAGCTGCGACATCGATTTTGTATACTTTGAGTTTCATGCAACCAAGGCGGTGCGCTTCGCAGGATGATCGACCCGGTGATCGCCTCCAATCGACCTGCAAGAGAGAAACTAGCACCACCAGACACCCAATCTAGAGGAGAGGGTGGAGTGCCTGGCCTCAAGAGACTGCGCCTCAGGCTGCCCACACATTGCCTCGAAGTTTTTATCGGTAAGGTTAACATTCGCATTTTTTCGACAGCAGTCGGCTAACCTGATATCGGCCAAAAACCGAGGCACGATCAATCCTTAGAACTATAATTTATCAGCAATGCGCGCCTACTAAATAGCGGGTATGACTGCATCAAACGAGGGTCATGGCATTATCATCATCACCGACACTGATGCTTCGTTGTTGTGCAACCATGATTTAGTTGAAAGCTTCGTTGTGGAGGAAAGAATAAAAGTGGACGGGGAAGAGTCTTAATGCTAGCTTACTACAAACATTCCGAGGTGGATTCATTCAAGGAGTCTGGAGAGAAATTGTGCGCTGGCAGAACGATAAGCGGCCTGGTGACTGCCTAAGCAACTCAGTATGCATGCCAACCGAGCCAGTGTACATGGTCGGATGACGGCAGATCATCCACTACCGGATTCCTGGAATAAGATGGACTAACATCATAATAACAGACGTCATCGGCTTTTTTGGAGGGCATGGCAAATATAAACATATGCTAAAGTGTTTTAGAACGGCTCATCCCGTTTCCATCACTGGCATAGTAAGCCGCATCAGCAGTCCTTACTCGGAGTAGCCTTTGGCTACGGAAGAGATATGAAGAACAGAGAAAAAACAGGCGGGTTGTGTGCTCTGAAATTCTCTTTTGTTGGCAGAATAGCCTGGTAAGGCCGTGTGAGTTGTCAAACCTATTCTTCACTTTTTTGTTTACAAATCGGTACGTTCATAAAACATATACAGATTCCCCTCCCTATATTGTTAGTACACGTCACCTGCTGATCCGAAATTCTTCCATTTCATTCCGTAGTTAGGGTGAAGGTCAATCAAGGTATCATAAGTTTGCTGCAAGTGTAACATAATCAACATCATCGTTAACTCCTCTAAGAAGAGGTCACATTTGACGAATGCAGGTAAGAATTTTGCTGTGCCGTTCGGCTGAAACCCTAAGGTGAACGGAAAACTTCACCGAAATGGTCAATATAAGCGCAAACCACAAGGATAACCTACGGAGGGGAGTGGGTCATCAAACGAAATATACAGCCACACTTCGCCACCACTGAGGCAATCTGCAATATGCAGACGACATCGTTCTCATCTTCGAAGAGGAGGAGAAGGCGCAGATGTTTTTGGATGAACTGAGCAAAATCATCCTGTCATTTGGTATGCACTTTGCATCCACAAAGTGTGAAGTCATGCTTGTGGACATGCAGTCACTGAACACGCCACTTGCAATCCAGCGGGAAGCACTCGAAGTTGTGGAGCGTTTTACTTATCTTGGAAGTTGTATTCATTCATACTGCAGTGTGACGGATGAAGTCAATGCACGAATCTGCAAAGCTCGGGTGGTGTTTGCCAATTTGAGACACCTACGGCGTCAGAGTGATGCGTCCCTGGATCTCAAGGGACGTGCGTATTAAGCTACAGCACTCGCTGTTTTGTTGTATGGCTGTGGGACTTGGCAGCGGAACTGAGAAGTTTTCAGGTGTTCGACAATCGTTGTCTCAGAACCATGGCTCGGAGTATCCGTAACAAGACGGTTAGAAAGCGAGTTTTTGGGTACTTCCATTGAAGAATGTGTCCAGCACCAGAAGCTGCGTTGGTTGGGACATGTGTTGCGTATGCCGAACCATCATTTGCCGAAGAGAGTACTGTTTTCCATGCCCAACTCAGAGTGGCGTAAACAGAGAGGTGGCCAACCCTTGACTTGGCAGAAGGGTATGGGGGAGATCACGAAACGCTTGGGTGCTGTCGGTGCTACACGCCTTCCAGGATGGGGAACGCGTGATCCTTACTGTACCTGGTTGGAGACACTACAAGATACGGCTGCCAACCGATGTCAGTGGCGTTCTTGATGTCAGTTTTTATCCAGATTGCCTGAGTGAATGTCTGAGGGTGTAGGCACCCTCAGCCAGCACTAAGTCTCTTCCCCGTCCACCTTTATCCTTATCTTTGCAATAAGGCTTTCAAATAAATCCTGGTTGTATGGCAGTGAAGCGTCGGTGTTGAACAGTGATGTCATGCTGTTGATGATGATGATAAGGCAGAGAGCTTCGCCATCACCAAACGCAAATAAAAGGCGGAATAAAGTAACCATTTATGGGGTGATGACAACGGTGTTCTAACCAGCCACAACATATAGATCTTCTCGAGGAGAGACCAAAGAGCAGCGACATATTGCTTTCGTCGTGATAATCGTACCTTTGTTCAGTCAATCAGAGTGAGTGAGCTGGGCTCTCATAGAAGACTGCACAGCTTTCATGTGAACAATCCGCTACTGTCTATCGGTTTAAGACAACCAGGAAAACAATGAGCTTAGTTATCCAAATAATGAAAATCAGAGAGACAGCTGGGTTACGCCAATACTTACGTGAATGTGACCTGAAAAAACGTTGATCGGTAAGTTGATCGTGGACACATTGGTAACCACAGTCAGGGAGCCGACAACCTGAGCGGTCGGCATGATGCGAACTGACATGTTCAACAACAGTTGTTCTGTGTTAGGCTGTAAGACTCTCGTGCAAGATTGGTTGTGGACCTAAAGGGTTGTGAAAAAGAGACAGATGAATGGGGAGTGATCTGGGATGAATGTGCGGATGAACACAGATGGTGCCGCTGTTGATAAATGATAAAAGGTGGGCTACACTTTGTGCAATCACAGATGAGACTGACTGTTACTAGCATGAACCCATTGCATTACTCCACCAATGTTGAGATAGGAACTGCCGGAAACAGGCTTCATGGGACTGGCAGCTGATATAACTGATGCGTAAATACAGGGTTGACAGTGAACTTTTAATTGGGGAGATTGGGAAGGGAGCTACGCATTGAACGCAGTAGTCTGGATGCACGGGCGCCATGCAGGGCACGACTGGGCCATGTCAGACAATGTCTCCAACCATTGATGTGTCCTGTTTCGGGGTCCCCATCAAAAGAGATGACAGTGACCAGCGCAGCTGAGTTTGCCCGTAATGGCTTTTAAACTTCACTGTCAAGTCATTATTTGGCCTTCCCAGGCTCGTTTCTACCCTTCGAATTCACTAGTGATATCAGGGTAGTTTAATAAAACACAGAAGAGGGTACCTCCAGCCTTCTCCTCTAAGTCTTGTGATGGGCCTATTTCACGCCTGCGGTATAAAGGACTGACAGTGGCGTCACCTGTCATTTACAACTTGGCGTGATATCTGCTCTGAGGCTGTCTCAAGAGAAGCCAGAACACCCGTTTTCTATAACGCTCTCTTTTAGATGGCTTCTGTGCACCGCAAAAAGACTGTCAATATTTTATCAAGCCATACAACGATACGAGTCTAACGAGTCAAGGACTTACCCGCGAGTTAAAGGCTACAATGACTGTGTAACGTACGATATAACGAAAGACAGACTGACCTTAGCACGACCTTAGAATGTAACGTATCAAATTGTGGTCGACCGCACATGGTTACTCAGTACGCACAGAGCACTGGCTTTGGTGAGTGCATCGCTGTGGGGGTACGCTACTATTCAACAACAAACAAGTGCACAGGCCGGTTGTGGCTTTCATAGAAAAAGGACACAAGCTTCGAGGTTTTTTTCATAGGCAAACTTATGAGTAACGTTGCGTCAAGTCTATTTAGTTCCAAAGTCCTCTATAAGCTTATTCATCTATCTAAAGGAAGGGAAGCGAGATGGCCCACGTGGTTAGAGCGCGAATTTACGGACTGGATGATCCGTAGTTCGAACCCGACCCATGCATCTGAACTTCCCCTTTCCAGGCTTTGGCAATCTGGCAGTATCTCAGCCAGAGGGAAACACCCATATTGAGGGCGAGGTCTTAAAAGAGGTAGAATAAAATAAGACGTCACTGCCCAACGACCAGAGGGTTTTACACACATCGAGAAAAAATGGTTCGACCAGTAGATGAATATATCGACGTTATTTGGCGATGAATATTGTGCGACACGGGGTGCTTTAAGGTCGGACAGACCGCCAACTGATGTGGCACAGATTCCGTGGTTTCAGAACAAGAAAGCTTCTTGACAAAACCACTTTGTCGTGGTAACTGAGAATTTCGTTGTTTCCATTGCCCTTTCTGCAAAAGACGTCAAATAACATACAACATAACAATATAACATAACAACAACATATACGAACGCATCCTACGATACAGCCTCGATATGCTTGGTAAGAGAAAGTTCAGATGAACCACTCTAAGGTTGCAGGATAAGCTGGGCATATATTCTGGACTGTATTCAGCAATGAACCGAAGATAACCCATCTTATTTTGGGCGGATAGGTATCAGTCCACTTCGCCTTGTCCGGGGAGAGAAGTGAGCTCAGGGTCACAGATAAAACTCAGCCAGTCATATAGTGGCCGTTTCAAGCTGGATTGCCGAAGAGTTTTCAATGCAAGGGAAGGGGACTCACGAGATTCGTTTCCCCACACCGCTTTCATACAGGATTTTGGAAAATGAATACTACTGCAACTGTTTTTCGCACTGTTTATTGGATGAAAGCTTCTCGTGAGCAGGAATTACTGCATCTACATTCACATATGTATTACCGTAAATTGATATTATTGCGCTTCAAAGTACGCCACGGATAAGCCTTCGATTCGACCTTGTGGTTTCTTGCGCAGCTGGCCTGTATTCATGCCTAATAAACCAGAGAGCAAGAAACTAACGCATCTTTTCTGCATACAGCGACAAAAGTTGCACAGCACAAATCCGACTGAAGCTTGCAAACAATGACACAGCAGGGAAACGGATAAGTGACGCGTATACCAAGCCAGAGTACGGGTCGCCTTGTTGTGAGATTGCGAGGAGGAGCCTCTGAGAAAGGTGGAAGCGAGATGTACTCTAGTGATCACCAACCGTTATATCAGGACCACAAGACGGTGCCAACAAACCCACATAGCAATTCGAAAACGAGTGCTTGGTTGTGCAAGAGAGGCTCCGAATTAACAAAGCGTCTAGTGTCGGAAACTACCGTGCACACCTAATCATAAGCTGCAGGAAAAGGAGCTGTTTCTCGTGCTTAATTCACGGGAGTGCCAGCAAAATGGTTGCCAACATTCTACCAAGGAGAAGGGTATGAAGATGCTGAAGAAGAGCCTAGATAATGTGCGTCTCCAATGCTCGTGAATGGATCATTTTGAATCGAACAATCCCCATAAAAAATTCGGCACCTTGTTATGAGTAATTAGAATACGGAAACAAATGTGGGAGCAAATCCTAAGATCAACGAAGCGAAATGTTATAAAAACGATTGGTCCGCGGCATGATCTTCCGAATGTAGGGTTGCAAATGAGTACACACATACGTCAAACTTACCGTGATCTGTTCGTGTAGTGCACGCGGCAGCGAAATCCCACGCACTAACAGTGGAATATCAGCAAGGTTTTGCAGAAATATGCTGTGATGTAGACCGGTAGACGGTTCTGCCGAAGAACTGCTGTTGGTTGTTCTTATTAATAAAGCGCTGTTGAGAGTGAAAATAATGACAATGAAAGATGGTCACTAGGATAGGAACAACTGTGAGTGTTTGCAAATGTAAACAATGGAGGTTTTATGCCGTTCACTCACCCACCCACCCACCGACCAACTCACGCACACGACCGCTCGCTCACACTCAGTCGAACGGGATTCTCACCAGATAGGGGAGCATTCCCCACATCTTTACATCAAGTTAATTGCGTGAGCAGCACAACAGGTGCACCCACCCCTTAATCGGCTCTGCGGGCAGGTTACGTATACTTGGACAGAGAAACATTATCGAAAAATACCGTCATTGGCACACGAATTTAGTTTTCAGAGGGGACTCGATTGAATCCAACTGAATCACCCATTTGTGTCGCGAGGACACCCTCCAGTATAGCTCAATGGGTCGCCGAGGTACATACGTATCACGGAAAGTTCCAATCTCTTTGTGACAGCGACATCATCTCCAGTAATACGCATTCAGATGGATCGTTAGCAGTTGAATGATTCAAATCTGCGACAAGGCCATAGTTACTCAGTACGGACGAACGACTAAATCCTAACAAAGTGACAGATTAGGTCTAAACCTCGATCGCGTTTGCTAACTGTATGATTGGGCGACGTGGCCTCTGCGACCAGTAGAGCTGAAAGGTTCTATGGTCTACGATAACCGTTATCTGAGAACCACATCTCACGTCGACCGGAGCCAAAAGACCCGTTAGCGACTATAAAACGAGTTTGGTTGTACAAGAGGGCCCCAAGTAAACAATGCGCCAAGCACCAGAAGCAGTCATGGTTTGTAGTGCGGACGCCACATCTTCGTCTGCCACCATCTCGCACCCAAATCAGGGTGACGCAAGCAGAGCTAGCCAAACTTTGGTTCTACATAGAGATATGAGGACAATTACGAAGGGTTTGGGTACTGTCGTTGTAACTCGCCCTCCAGGAACGGGTCCGCGAAACCACCCCCCCCCACACACACACACCTGTGAGTGGTCAGAGATGTTGCAAGGTGGTTGTTAACAGATGTCACTGGCATTATTGTCAGTTTCTATCCAGGATGCATGAATGAGGGTCTGAAATACTAGGCACCTCAGAATGTATGGCTAAAACTAAGTCTCTTCCACACCCACTTTTATTCTTTTCCTTGTAATGAATTATGGCTGTACTGGCGGAGCACTGTTTCTGAACACCGATGTGCTGTCGATAATGATGATGATGAAGACAGGATTCATTCTGAAGTCGCGATAATCATTTGATTCGGACAAGGTCACATGATCAGCCAAATTAAGTAGTCAAATCAAGTTAGAGCCAATACCAACAATAACTGGGGAATAGCAAATAGGTGGAAATATGCAAAACATTGTCACATGAAGTCAACGTCGATAGGCGTCGATTTTGCTTTGACGTAATACGACCCTCCCCCTGGAGACGAACTACATGATGAAAACGAAAAAATAATGAGATGAGAAGAATCCAATTGAGTTCTTTTTATCCGGCTAACTTTCAGTAATTTCGAACAAAAATCGCTAACGCTTGACCCGTAAAAGTCGACAAAAATGTTGTCAAGTAGTTAACCTTGGAATCAAGAGCACAAGAGAGAAACTAGAAACCCAATCATTATAACCAACACATCGGTGTCCGAGAGGAGAATAACCGAGAAGTGCGATAAAGAGAACACGATCGCACCGGCGATTCCATGAAGCAGGGGTCTGGTTATCTTTCGGAAACACGATATGTTACACCCACTTTTCTCTACGTGGGGAACAGATCCCACCAAGACAATAAATTTGAAACGAAGGGCCTTCCAGTCCAAGGGGGATAGAAAAGTTTTTATAATTCAAGGTCTGTCCAAGATTGCAGGCCACGAATTGAGCAAACCAAGCTTGCTAGGGATTTACTTCGATACTTAATAGCATCGTCTTGCTTGAAGTTGCTTGTCTGAAGAGCAGAAAAGGCCCATTTGGGACACTTCATGTACCGTATTATCCGATCTGTAAGCATGGTACCACCGAAAAGCTACAAGGCCTCTTCAGATCAAGTGCTTGAACAAATCATCAAAATTTAGACCAACTGAACTGAAAAGGTTGTTCGGATGCGATCTGCGGACGATCTGTACGGAGTGCGGACTGTCCTGCATGAGATCCGATATGAATAAGGAAAGTAGGGTGTTACGTTGGTGAGCGAAACCACTACAATTTTCGCACATGCTTCACTGTCGATCAGCTAACCGGCGAAGCGAAGCACGCTGGACATTGCGAGGAAAATACATGTGCCCAAAAAAGTCATGTGAAATGCTGGACTCTGGGTAGCAAGGATATTACCTACTGAAAAAAACTACACAAAATGAACGGAAGTAGTTTGCTGTAGACGTCAATTCATTCTGATGATCTAATTCGTGCTTTGGTACGGATCAAGATTCGCCAATATTCAATCAGGAATTCTGTTCGAAAACGTCCGGACTCCGGGTGATTAATATCCAAGCATTCAAAGAAACCAGGAAGTCTCTCGTGTTTTCGACCGCTTATGTGACGCCAACCAATTCAAGGATAACAATGCCCCCAAACGGTTGCCTACAATAAGCTTCCCCGCATGAGTACACCAATGGTCAAACTTGAGAACTGCTTTCCGACAAGGAATCATTCATCGTATCGAACTGAAATGGGGACATACAAAAAGATGACCCAAGGCAAATTTTTTTTGTATCGTTAGGTGAAGTCGTGATCCGGCTGAGGCAGAATTAGAAGAACGGTTTGAACCTGGAAGCCACATTTGTCCAAACCAGCTCAGCCCAACCATCACACGGTATTGTGTCCACGGTGCACGAACCACATTATATGTATACTGGTTGGAAAGTCGTTCATATGTGAAGATGGAAGTGATCAGCCACAGTTCAACATTTATTCAGTGTTATATTCGGTAGCATTCTTCATGAGTGGGGAGGTATTATTTGTTTTGGACGCCATTAGTGATGAAAGCGCTAAACAGCGTCGTAGCGCGGAGGTTTGCGTAACTTTCTCCATCGGACTGGCGAATGCACAGAGACCAAGTTCTCAGTGTTAAAGCAGTTAAAACATGTGTTGCGACTTGTCCCTTCAAAGGCCACTCTATTGTACTTACACCGAATGCCGATGCCTTAAAATCAAGCTCTTGAATCAAATGCTTTGGGTGAAGTCCTGTCCTCCTGTCTAGGTGTGGCTGTACTCCAAACCATGTTTGAATGTACGGTAGTAGGGCAATGGAGCACCAGTATTCAACGTCAATGTTACTAACAATGACGATCCTCTCCCTCAACATGCGACCGGCCGTTTCTTGCAACAAGATGAGTCAACCAGTCATGATTGACGGTTTAAGCCATCAAGTACACAAAACTGTAACAGACTGATAGGTGTTTTCTGTCCGAGTTTTCCGTCACTGTTAAGGCGTTCACCGGTTACAGTAACGGCATACAATGCATTCTCAAGCCGGTGTAGATGTGCATGAGAATCGTATTAACTACGCGTATCGCTACATAGACAACAACAAGAACAAGAAAGCAGTGAGCTGCAAAGGTACCTCGCGATGTGCCCTGCGAAAAACGGGTGGGCGTGGTTACCGGAAACGCGAAACAGCAGGAAACGAGGCGGGATCGATTGCCAACTGGCAAAGATAATAAAGTGACGGCGGAGGGTTCCAAGTTATGATATTTTAAATAGTGAAGAAGTGCACAGAATCACTGGTCACATACAAAGCATGGTAAACAAGAAAACCTGAGGACAGATAAACACAAATTTATACAAGTATCGAAGAGTTTTCAGCAACCTTGTGAGTAGTTTCCTTTATGGTCATTATCCACTTTCCCCACATTGCTCCCTCGGAAGCCATTTTGCACTCTTCTGCTGAACTTCCGCCCGAACGAACGTCTTATACCACTGTAGATTGTTCGTAATTTACTAAAGTGTGGACCCGTTACAGCACCCCTCAAAGGCAATCTTCGTCATAATCTTGTTGCCTTTCCGCTTTGATCACCTTTCTTTGATGCTTGTGCGTCTTTTTTTCATTATCCCATAACAATTCTAGTTTCTACACCCCTGGAAGATTCATTCTAGTTGTCCTGCACTTGACTTCACTCGAATATGTGCACCGTTGATGACGCCTAGTGAGCGTGAAACTCAAGTCCAACGCCAAACACCGTGGTAAGGAAACACCAGAATAGCCCAAAGTAATGTGGACGGAAATCCTACAGGTCACGCGACTGCTCACACAGCAGTCTATTGGTTTCTGTGGACAGCATGAGCAAAGGGTTAGGTCGCTGCAAGCTGATTCTGGTTTCTGCGCTGTGTGAAGAAGAACCCTAGGACGGATCATTCAACGATGAACAGACCCTGTACTTAGTGCTTTACAGAAAACGCTCGAACGACGACAAAATCAATCCACGTAATGGTTGATTCATAACTGCGCATCAATTGACCGGTACATTTTCATAAAAGTGGGCGCACAGCAATAGGGATTGTACGAAATGAGCCCAACGACGGAAATTCATCACTCAAAATGGCATCATCGGATCCGGAGATGAGTGAAACCCCTATCAAAACTTACCCATAAACGAGGCGAGCAAAGTAAGGAACTTTGACATAGGTCAGTTTGTCCTCCGTGTAAGCGGTGATGAAGCCAGATAGGATGGCGCTTTTAGAAATATGCTTCACTGGTAGAATAAAAGGGAGCAAAAGTGGCACTGAATTAATTGGACAATCCGAACACAGAGGAAATGGGAATCAAGATACCACAGTTCCGAATATAAGTAGTTCCTGAATCGACAGCTAAAATGAAAGAAACACCATCATGTTCATAGTTGGACGTCTGGACAGCTATTAACATGAATGGATTTAGTTGATCGTTTCTTACGCCCCGCCATAAAAAATCGTCTGGCTGTGACACCCTTCCGGTGCCTAACTGCCATGCCACCCGAAGGTTGCACGAGGGCTGGGATACTGCCAGGTTGTCCAAGCCTAGACAGGGGTAGTCGAGAGGCAGAGGTCGGGTTCGAACCATGGACCTTGCGGTCAGTAAATCCGCGGTCTAACCACTTGGGCCGTCTCGCTCACACGCCATCAACCCTGAAAAACTGTCTGAATTACTGGAGTATCCTTTGCGAGACGAGGAATAACACGATGGGTTGCGAGCACACTTTCTTCAACAGCGTGCCGCCAAGCATTTGGAAGAACAGTGTTTAAGAGTAAGGAAACTGTATTTGAAAGTCTGCAACGAGAGCAGTGAACAGTAAGGTTACCGACAAGAGAATGATCCATGAATAAAGTTTGACACTCAGGTGTTTTCTTATGAGACCGAGTTGTTGAAACGAGTAAACTTTGATGGATTTAGCCTAAACAGGTGCGTCAGACTGAGTCGCTGACTAGAAGCGATAAAATCAGTTGCAGTTGTGCTAGTTACGTGGATGCTATTCAGCAGCCGGTTGCATCTTCAGTTAGTGCAACGTTCGTGGCATGCAAAAAACGGCTAGGTTAGCATTGATCAATCGCAGATCACTGAGTAACATTTCACACAAAGAAGCTGTCAGGTTACGTGTCGTTTTAGGTGGCCATGAACTTCGGCACAGACAAATACGTTCACATTCGTTTCAGCCACCTCACCAGAGAAAGGCGCTCTAAGGGAAACATTGATGTGCCTGGTCGAAATCTGTGGTCCTAACAGAATGGATGCCAAGGGTCAAACTAGTGCTTATCCATGAATGAAAATACGAGCAAAACCACCAGTTGCCTCAAATGAGCAACATCCGACTAGATGGTGAATTTACCACCCAACGCAAAATGACTTTCAGTCATTATTTACAAGTCACTTTCGACTACATTGATTTGGTGGTCTGGCATGCCCAAACCACAACGGTCTTGTGGGAAGAGCTAGAAGAGCAGAGCGAAAGTATCCTGTCGGTAGGGAGCGGTCAACTTCTCCACTCACGCGAGTCTGCGGAACAGAATGACCTATGTTCTTATGCTTGCGGTTGCGAGTTCAGTTGGCATTGATTGGGCAACAAATGCCTGCTTAGACTGACGTGTTGAAATTGTTTGGGGGATTCACTGAGGTTATACTACAGTTGTTGATCGAATAAGTGGATTGGATGTGACACCCCATGCTGTGGGTAGAGTGATTCCATAGCTTTCATTCCAGTAGCACGTATATTGGAAAGGAGCGCGACTGGTATTCGAAACACCGCCTGAGTTGGCGCATGAGCCGGGTGTGATCTTCTCATCAGTTTGGCGAAAGCACATTTCTCACTGGGTACCTGTAATGTGCGTGTATGTGGTGGGAATGCCCTAGTTCTCATGCTACTAACCGACTGCAGATGTGTGGTGAGTATGATTTTGCAATTGTCATGGTTGATGGAAGGTAGATTACTCGCCCAGCGTCTGTAATCCCGTGGGCAAGAAGCGTTTAGTTGTCATAGCATCTGCTAGCTGAATGTGGGAGTTTTGGCGAATTGCTTCAGTAGTAGAAACAAGCGCTGACTACTCAACCCCAGTGAACCGCTTGAATTATCCAAACAGTCGCCGATGTTGAGCAAGTCACTGATTTGTACAATGATTCGCTCTCTCAAACGAGTGCGCAGCGCACAAACTGTCTCAGAGTCCAGCTAAATTGATGATCTTGAATAGGTACTACTAATCGTAGCAGAACCAACAGCTGATAATGCGAAACCGTATGACATCAGATTTTCAAAGCAAACACGTTAGGTTGTTCAGTGACAGGACATGAACAGCTAGTAAACCCATCCTAGGATTCAGCTTTTTTCATAACTTAATGAAAGGGAATCTCTAGAAAGCTGTCAATGATGGAATTTAAAGGTCACCACACTCCCCAACATGCCGTAGACAATAGAACAAGCGACCCCGAAAGGGGCTGATTGTCGAGAGGCCACTGTATGAATTTTAAGTCCATTCCTCAGCCCAAAAGTGGGAATAATGTAGTTTGGATGATCAAAGGACACAATTTATCTGGCTTATGTAACCGGAGGAAAAGGAGCTTGAATGAATAATACGGAGGAAAAAAATCGCAGGCCCCACAGGCTCGTGGATATCTAAATAACTGGTTTCCGTGTTTCCTGATTTGAGATTGGAGCGCATCCTCTTTAAAACGCAACCCGCAGGATACGTATTGTAAGAAGATGAGCAACTGAACAAGGGTGACACCACAGAAAAGGAACAGAGGACGTCAAAGTGGACTAAGGAAACAACTAAGGTTGCCAAGGAGCGAGGCGGCACACGGATAAGTTACATACTCATAGGCTGACACCAAGCTACTTAATCCAGCGCCCATGATTCTGTTGCCATGTCGACAAGTGTTTGTAGTGAACAGGACGAGAACCGTTGCATAGGGTCTGGACCAATGGTGTCGAAAACAAGCAACCCAGATAACGCACTTTTCTAATTCCAGAAGGCCCGAATTAAAGCCGACCTAGGCTCTGTATCGAGATTTCCATTTCATGTCTACCAAAGTACGGCGCTTCCTCTTTATGAGGAGCTTCCGTCGACGAGGCGCTTTGAAAGAAACAATTCTAGGAGTCAGCGTTTACCTAGTGTTGATTGACGACTCTAGCAAAATCCTCTGATAATCATGAAGTATTGGGAAGAGTAGTAAGAAGGCTATCTTAAACTTTTGGGTCTACGTCTTATCCACTGGCAGTGACAGAACACCAAATTAAGCGCAAACAGTATGCGCCATCACAGCCTGTCACTTGTCCGACTAATGCTGATAGGGAGATCCACATCGGGTGGCAGCGAGATACAGGTAGCGTTTCCCTTGATGTAGCACAACTGAAAACAGGGAACCACACATACAAGGACACTGGATTCACCCTGGGCTTATTGAAAAAAGCAGTTTTTCGGTTAGGGAAATCTCGGTGATACGCGCAACGAACATTGAGAACGGCCTCGGAAAACCGAAAACCTGTGAGGTAAAGGTTACGCCTTCACAATGTGTTGTGTCTTGCTGAATGGTGATTCAACTCAGTGTCGGTCCTTGGCTTCCTTCTCCGCACAGCAGGGTATGCCAGAAGGTACGGTAGCTTCAGACAGCTCTATATGAAAACAAAGGAAGATCATTACAACCGTATTTATGGGGTCAACAGAGAATGCTCCACAAGGTTGCACTAGAATCTCCGTGAGGGGGCGAGGAGCGTCGACCTATAAATGCTCGATGCAGATTGGCTGACATTCTGACCAATCGAGGCATGCCTTCATTCTGTGCATAGCCCGCACGTGACACATTCGTCCAATTGACGAGAGGTTCGGTTATTAGGGGCGGCTGGCCTCCGGACATATCGCGTACGCTCATTTGTTCCTTCTGGCAACCTTGTGAAAGCACATGTGAAACGAAGCATTTTGACGAAAATTTGCGTACGAGAACCACCGAATGAGGGACTGCGCTTCAAACCGATCGATATTTTCGAGTTATCATACTAGGGACGATGGCATTATCTAGTATAAGTTGAGCTGTACGGTGTGTTGACTAAGCAGAACCAACAGGGTAGTCTCTTTGCAGTTTGACAAAAACAAGCGAAGACAACGATAAGTCCGGCTGTTTTAAAGTTGAGTCGAGTTCACTTTTATGGTATACTCGCTGGTTTGGATCAAGCTAGGTGAAAGGAGCTTCAATAGGAACCAAATTGAGCGTTGTATTATTAAATATAGAACGTCCACGACAAAATTCAATATCAGTGGATTCACACGTGCGCTGAGTTCTGAGCGAAAGCATGATGATTTTTGTGTTATGAGACCCCATCTAATGCGACCAGATGGCAATTCTTGCACCATCAACATTCTAGAGCGACCTTGTGGATACCTGGATACCACTAACCATAAATGCTGTAATTTCGATTTGCCCTTATTAAACGAGAAAGAGAAATCCAAGAGTTGCGAACCCATGACACCAGCATACAAAGTTAAGCACCAAAAAAAACAGAAGATCGGCGTTTAGACGTACCGGACACTGAGATTACAGCAACCGTCCGGGGCTCCAACGATCGACCGGGCAAAGTCTGGTTAGCAATACGAATCGATATTGCCGGATGTGAGCCATTTGCAGCTACATGCTAAAGCGTAAAAAAGAGGCGGTAATGAACAAACTGTGTCGGGACCTAATGATAAACACAGTCACCCGAACACATGCCAATAGGCGTGTCAGGCCTACAGTTGGAACAGTCACTTGGGTGCCTTGTTAAACACTGGTGCGGCTGTGGATTGGCCCTAATTCGCTGGGACACGTTCCCAAGTACGCTCAACAACTTAGCGAAAGGATAAAACAGATATTTCCCTCCATCTTTGAACAAAGCCGGGGAAAGCTCACCAGGTCTAGCGGCCCGATGGCGCTTCCAGGCAGAAAAGCACATTAGTACCTCATCAACTGAAACGGAATCTAAACGTGCAGGCCATGGCTCGAAATGAAAGACGTAGATGCAGTCACAGAAAGCACTCATGCTAGCGATCTAGACACCGGTCTTTATGGTTCACTGAATTTGGAACATCATCTTCGATTAACTCGGTTACGAAAGCCTTTTTAGATCCTGTTTTGCGGATTAGCCGCAACATTCACACTGGCCTCTTCCAATTCCTGAACTTGCCGGTTCCACAGTAACTCTTTGTCCACAGGCAGACCACGCTTGAGCAGTCGCCTAACTGATTGTCAAGGCGAACTGTACTCTCAGCCCGAAGAGAAACAAAGGCCGGAATCAAGGAGTGCTAGTGGCCGTAATGAGATCCAGTGCGTTTTGTGTACGCGCTCAGAAACAACACTAAACGGAGTTCCCAGTGTCAAGTATAGCCGTGATTACCTCGTCCCAGTTACGGTCACGGTCGTTTGTAGAGTGTACTGACGATAACAGGGGAGAAAATTTGGTACTGTCACAACGCTTGAGAGTAGCTAGAAGTCAGTTTAATCACAAAGTTTTGACGCAGTCAGAAGATACCTATCAATCGAAAGACATCCCATCTAGAGTGTAGATCATAAAATAGAACATGAACAATCTTGAAATGGGGGAAAGAGAAAGGACGCACATAGTTGTGCAAAAAGTGGACAAAGCAGTTTGAATTTGGTCTGTTCAATAACTCCATATGCACGCATGAAAGACGGGATTAGTGTTTGAAGTAGGAATAACCAAAAGCGGTTCGTATCGGCTGAAAATCGAGAATACATGATGGGTGAAACATTAATGTAGCGTCTCATGCAAGTACGCTCTGCCGGAGAGGTGATGTATCTGCACTGTCTGACTGGTTTACTACACTTAGTGTATGGATGATTAACGGAATTTCGTTTGTGAGGCCTCCGGGAGCCACGATCCAGTATTTAAACCCGGGTCGGATCCACCACGTACAGTGTACAGGAAGTTATTGTTAAATCGTTGTACTGCACCCCCACGTTGCTCTCTGCAAAGGCATTTATGTTCCTTCATCCTCAGTTCGGTCTTGCTCACTGACGGACAGAACAGTATCACAGTCGTTGCACTAAATGCTGCAGATATCTACTGCGTGCACAATCATCAAGTAAGAGGCTTTGAAAAACGGGTTGTTTTTTCTTCAATTGGAAGACTAGTGAAATTATTACACAACGCTCTGGGCACCACGATAACAACGAAATGTAGATATCAGACGTTCTTTAACTCTTTTACCCCATAGAACAAAGGAAAATATCATCAGACCTGTGACAGGAGTGTCAGGCTAGGAACTCACAGGGAGTGAAATAAGGCCTACTGGGAGTGGTTTGGAGTTTGACGTAGGCACACGAGTTTTAGAGCCGATTGACATCATCCCGGAAATCGAGGAAAAGAAAAACCTGCTGACATCACAAGCAGCAAATAAAGTCCATCAGAAATAATGATCACAAGCAAGCAACCTGCTAACCGAAGAACGACTAGGAAAACCCGATCATCATCATCATCATCATCATCATCATCATCATCATCATCATCATCATCATCGACAGCATGACATCAGTGTTCAACACCAGTGCTTCACTGCCGTACAACCATGACTTATTTGAAAGCCTTATTGTAAAGAAAAGAATAAAGGTGGATGGGGGAGGGACTTAGTGCTAGCTTAACACAATCATTCCGAGGTGCCTACACCTCCAGACATTCACTCAGGCAATCTGGATAGAAACTGACAACAGGAACTCCACTGACATCGGTTGGCAGCCATATCTTGTAGTGTCTCCAACCAGGAAAACCCGATCGGACAGAAGAAACCAAGTAGCAATGAAGAGCAGCTCCATTTGTGACCAAGAAAATACTGGGCCCGTTTCGAAACAGACGAGAAACCTCCCCTATAAAAACTGGAGCTTTTAATGGGAATAGAAGAGAAAAGAGACAAATCACTTCGATTGGATCACAAGGCGTTCTAGAAGCCGAAATTCTAGGGCTCACCGAGGATGCATAAATCAGGGGATATTGTCAGGCTCAACGTACCCAGTCTTTTGCTTAAACACTAGCCATACACTGACCACATTCTTAAGCTTATCTGGGAGTGTACAGCGCATACATCATCATCATCATCATCATCGACAACATGACATCAGTCTTCAACACTGATGATTCACTGCGCATACAACAATAACTCTGTCTAGTTGGTCAGGGAATTACACGACATAATTGTTGTACCTCTTTTCAGAAACGTGTCAGTAGAGGGCAGACTTTGCCCTACGCTTCCAAAGGAGATACCTACCAAAAAACGATGGTAGTCGTTAGCCAATGGAAGCAAGCTTACGAGGTCGGAGCTCTCACCGAGGTATTGGTAAATGGAAGCCAACGTATGACGGTCTCCAAAACGGAAGTATTGGCACTCTCCTCACAGACCTAAACAATTCACATGCAGATGTCTAACTTATTTGTAAAAAAAAGATATCTTCCGTAGAATTTCTGATACATCCAAATGGGAGTGATAAAATACAGACAACCGTTCAGCAAAAGTAAATTCAGGCAAACACGCACACGCGCTTTAATTCTGAACAATCAATATGCACCGAGAAAGTGAAAGCAACAAGACCCTAAAGAATCCTTCATGTCAGAAGGCTGAGTGGCGAGCCCACTGCTGTGCAATCTTCCCATCTACAGATTGCATTACTAGACATAAACCGTGCACCGAATGTGCATCCAAAAAATGGACAGTGTTAACCAGACATGTGGATAGTGATGGTCAAGGTAGATTCACCAATATAACTGCAAATATGAATGGCCGTTCTCAGTGTATGCACATTTGTGAAGGGAGCAAGGACTAAAAATGAACACGGAGAGTACATACACAATCACTAAATCCACGTGTCTCTTGGACTAAAACTGCGCGTCCTAACATAAGTGAATCGGCAAACAGTTTGGTTATTACGTGATAGGTTGAGTTGTCTATTTCCATCGAATGTGTATGAAGGGAAGACATGCGAGCGAAACAGCTCAGTGGTTATAGCGCGAATTTACTGACTGGGAGGTCCGTGGTTCGAACCTGACCTCTGCCTCTCGACTTTCCCTGTCTAGGCTTGGGCAAACTGGCAGTATTCCAGCCCTCGTGCTTCCTTCTGGTGGCATGGCAGTTAGACACCGAAAAGGTGCTACAGCTGAACGATTATCTTTGTTATATTGTGTCATATCGCTGGATATAAGCACGCATGTTCATTGTCTGCGGGTTACCAAGCACGAGTGCACAATATTCCCCGATATGGATATTCACATCTGTGTCTATCAGCGAGATAACGAACCAGTGCCTAAGTGGCCTGTTTTTCGGCTCTACAAGGCACCTGTGATCACTTGACTCCCCACAGACTTATTGCATGGTGGACGTCCATAAATCATAATCTCCGCTTGAGCAATGTTCTGCGATTCAAATGGTAAGATGCAAATTGTACAATCTCGTGTTCGCTATTTTGTCGTGCCGACGTCCTCAGTTTCAAAAAAATGTCCTGGTCATTGTTTCTTCTGGAACAAGAAACTTGTGATTTCCATATGGGTGGTTCATTCTTCAATAAGAGAACCAACCAAGGTGTAATGCGTAACAGCTCAGCAACTGGTTCTCCTGTGGTTCAAGTTGAGATAGTCTGACATGTACAGTTAAGCGATGGAATATACAATACAATTTCTATATATGGAAGTAAACTTACTGTAATTTTCACAAGGAATGGAGAGCGGTTGATCACGTCAAGTGTGAGAACTGAGGGCTCGGAATCACTCATTAGGGTTCCAAAATCTAACAAAGTGGTTGTCGCGAACAGATCGATATCTACGTAAGGAAACAAAAGACGTGTATTCTTAAGAGATCTGGTGTACGATAACTGATAACAGAAAACGGGATGTCAAAAAACATCGTATGTGTCGAACCAACAAATCAAATAGGAATCCCCTCAAAAATACTGGTGAGACGGATGAGCGGTTGTGGGGGACAATTCGTGGTTACGGAGAGTTGATGACTATAACATCAGGGAAATCACACAAGATACAAATTACCTTGCAGATGCACACTAAGATTGAAGAGCAGTTGCGAGTAGACGCGCGGACATTGCTATCGAGCATGCTTCGCTAGAATCACGTCAACTGTGAAACAGGGCTCTAAACGAAAGCTTGCAACTCTTTTTAACAGGTTTCAATTTGTGCCAACCTAACTGGGTTTTCAACAGTCTGGGTTTCACCACTTTCTTCGTCCGTGTTAATCTGACCCTGCCTACACTCCCCTATCTGTCCCCTTTTTAGCGCCCCATTCAGTTTCGTGAGTCTTCCCATTGGTCCGAAGCAAGACAGGGTCCAAGCATAAACATATTCGCCTAATCAGATGTGACCACCACTCAGGAGCACTCGCAGTTTGGTGGCAAGGATTGAAAACACGTCCTTCCCGCATCCCAGAAGGCCGGTGTTCAAGAAGGTGTTCCAAGAAGGATTGAGGATATGTACTATTGGCGGGCTCAAATAACGGAAGCAAACTTAATTGCTTTACCCTGGGTGCGGACTAGTCGGAATACTCATTCTGCGATAGGGAAAGACAATCACGTGACAAGCTTACGTTAAATAGCTGCCGTATAACCTGGAGGACCGAAGACTACTCACAAATACACGACAGCGAAAGAATAGTCCAGTTGCTTGATCAGTAGCTCGCGTCAAACTAAGTCAAGTCCTGATTTCAAAGCAGATCTGAATGGACTCTTGCTCAGTCTTTTTTTCGGAACGGATAGGCTATGGAGATCATTATGTCACTGCCCCCCACGCACCTCTTAAACACAGAATTCAACAAGTATTTTCATCGGATCCTTTGGGGTTTATAAATGTTCCGCCTATGCAACTCATCAAACTGCACATCTGTTCCGTATAATTTCGTATTTTCAGTTAGGGAGACAAGTTTAACAAGTCACCCAATGTTTGACGTTTAGACTGTTATGCAGACGACAAGGTCTGATATAAAAGAGTCAAGTTAATAAGTTATCCCCACTAGAACCTTGGTTACCGAGTCACTGAAGGTCATGCTTCCTAGGACTCGTCTGTTTGTGCACACCTTTAAATCAACATCTCGTCAACAATGGGCGGGTTTAGTTCAAAGCGTTTAAAAGATGAAACAACTGCTAGTTTCTAATTTGTTGATTACAAACTACGATACATCACCATCAATCAGACGCATAAATAGTGACCTTGGGGCATGGGGGGGGGGGGGATCTCAGTAGTTAGGGCGCTTTACTGACCGGAAGGTCCGTGATTCAAACTTGACCTCTGCCTCTCGATTTATCTAGGCTGGGGAAACCGGCAGTATCGCAACCCTCATGCTTTTCTATCGCATGATGACGAAGACCCAAGGGCGGTCATCGTATGACTTGGCAACGAAGTATGGAAGTCCCTACCAGTCGCGCTGGTAACTATCGTCTCCTCGGATGGGCACTTCGGGACGAGATAAACCAATAGCTAGTGACCTTGATAGATATGACCGCGTGACTGACTGATTAGGAAATGGATTATAGCGCTTCACTGGAAGTAGCGGCTGTTCCACGATTGGTGTGAAAATAGTAACGTACGGCGAGATGGCCGAAGTGGTTAGAGCGCGGATTACTAACCTGAAGGTCCGCGGTTCGAATCCGACCTCCGCCACTCGACTTCCCCTGTCTAGGCTTGGGCAACCTGGCAGTATCCCAGCCCTCGTGCTTCCTTCGGGTGGCATGGCAGCTAGGCACCGGAAGGGTGCTACAGCTGAACGCTTTATCTTTTACACCATAACACTTACAAGAGGTTACAGGGGATTTTACAGACCACAGAATTCATCAGGACGAGATCGGATGAAACTGTTCCTGAAAACGGCCATAATCAGCGTACAAGACCGCATCAGTGTTGACACCGATAAATTTTAAGGTCTTTGAATGAGAAAAAAGAGTAGATGGAAAATGGGTATATTGCTAGCTTACCACAAGAACCTTGCCATACTTATACCGCCAGGGGCCCAATCAGACAATCTACAAGAAAACTCAAGACATGGACCCACGTGACATGGGTAAGCTGCCGTTTTGTGCGAGGTTTGGAATCAGAAACCAGAAGTCACAGAGACCCCATCCAACAACACTCAAACTCTTCGTAATCTCCTTCACACCCCTCTTCCAAATTATCTTATCTACCTCAGTTTGCGCCGTTATGAAGAGATAGTGATACTGAGAAACACGGATTCTGTTAAACTGAATATGACGAGTCAATCAATCTGAAGAAGAGAGTATTCATAAAAGAGCGAGGTTCGTAATAATGTTATGCATTCAAATTGGGGCCCAAAAGGTCCATGGAAGGTGAATGCTGTTTTAAAATACATACGTTCGAACGCAGCGTACAGGCAAATCTAGACATATGCACATACGAGCCTACATGGTGCCCACTAAATTCATGAATCGATCACCTTGTCAATTCCCTCCGGCTACCCTCACCCAGAGGATGATACCAGTCTAGATAATGCGGTAAAAATATAGTGTTCCACCTTAACAGGCAAGCCCCGATATTCAGTGAACATCCCGAAGGAAGTGGTTTCAGCGAGTTTGAAAATGTCTGCGATAAAATATCTATTAACAAGGCAAACGACCTCTCAAAAAATTACCTGGTTGACTGGTGGGAAACACTGAAAGGACAACCCGTATGGTTTTAAAAATCAACCCCTAAACAATGGCACCCTCAGTGTGCAATGGAACATGCAACCTTGAAGAGCATTGTCCCTTGAGTATTTTGATGAGGTTCGCGGGTGCGTCGAAGTATCACAAATGAAAAATCGCTCAGCTGTATTACCTCTTTGGTGCGTAGCTGCCATTCCGCCTGAAGGAAGCACGAGGTATAGGATACTGTCAGATTGCCCAAGCTTAACCGGGGGAAGCCGAGAGGCAGACGACAGGTTCGAACCACGGACCTTCCAGTCAGTAAATTCGCGCTATAACCACTGAGCCATCACGGCGGTCCAGCGCACCAGTATAAGAAGTGTACAGAATATAATGCGGGATGCAAGTCCTTCGCTAACTGACTACAAAGTGATATGTACTATAAGTGACCATTGAAGACGACAGCTTGCACCGGTTTGGCGTAAAAATAACTGAAAAAAGTAGGTTGGAGGCACCGATGCGCGGTATTTGTTGGCTCATATGGTGAATAGCTGCGACACTGGATCACATTGCTTGCGAAGTCGCAGAGTAAGCGAGGGTGGTCACCCGGAAGTGAAAGCACCTATTGAAGCTAATACATACGGCACAACAGAGGAACATAAAAGACATTTCGAGATAGGTTGACCCAGAAAAATGGACTTACTAGATGTATATCTAGTGTGCAATGGAAACGCCGAAGTGGTCAAATGGGTTGTTTCGGAATTCTCGCCGCCGCCGCACAGGACTTCGTTGTCTATATGACATGGAATATCAGTACAATCAGAAGGCGAGCTTATGCAGGCAGATGTAACAGAGGTGGACAATACGAGAAAGCCACGCATTGAGGTAAAATTATTATTGGTCATCTCTATTCGTAAAAGCTCGGTTGTCTGCTGCGGGTATAAAAACCTTTTTCCCAGAGCACACGATTCGAATGGTTGGCTGATACAAGAATCCGAGATTTCCAAGGTGTTCGTGGGGGATATGCACAAGGCAAGATATTCCACCTGCAAAAAACGAGGAAAGCAGATTAGCACGAAATGGTAATTACGAGCAGATTCATGTAGCTCAAATGCTAGCTGAAGTATTGATAAGAAGTTCAGTGGGGATTTCATACGGACTGACAACGCATGAAAATTCGCTGACAACAAAACTGAAAACCAAATAAAAAAGACCACAAACGTCTCCAGCACATTCAGTAGGCCTATTGGACTGCCTGAAAAAAAAGTGGGCTATTGAAGCCTATATCTGACCTTATAAGAGTGTCTGGTTAAGTAGAGTAAAGTGTAAACTAAGCGTTTTCATCACATACACTTCTACATAACTCTGAGAATGTGGTCCTCATCAGCAGCAATTATGAAAAGCTTGATGTCAGTGGAGATTTGCCAATTCTCATGCATTTCGGTCACCTTCCAAAAGCTCTATATAAGTCATGTCAAGCATTGAATAGACGTTTCTCCTCCATCCTTAAAAAGGGGAGGCTGACAGTCTGGGGTTTCTTTTGAAGACTTTGATTTGGTTACGAGCGGCGACACTTAGTCAGAATTGTGGATCCATCATTTTCTGTGATGAATACACTGACTGACAGGCTGTTCGGTACAGCGTTTACGACCGCAGCTTGCTCCAGTGGATTCACATAACAAGCCAGATTGCCAGAGCTTTGACGACAACCCGGATGACTCTTTGGTTTGTCTCGAAACGGCGAAGCTTCCGGTCAGTAAGTTCGCACAGCAAAGCTATCACCGAACCGAAGGTGGCATGGATAATACGGAAAATGATGTTGGTCGGCTGTTCTGATGATTCTCGATTTGTCAAACTGTGAAGATTCGGTTAGCGCAACTTGGACCCCCTACGGAAACCACTTTGTTCGACAGCGTACTAACCCAGCGCTGGCTTCAGCTGTCGGTGAACTTCATCTTTGTGAATCGGAATAATCAGGGAAAATGACCAAGATGAATGAGTATGATGGGGCGTCAAAATATTCTAGGAAAGCTCCACAGAACGTAGTTTCCTCGATGTTGACCTATTCGTGCGGTCACCTATCATTGCAAACGATCTTCTAGTTCCCGAAGCAAGGAAAAGTCTGATAAACTTTCTCTGAATTAGGCCCGTTAGGAAAAGCGAGTCAAGAGGTACACTTGGCGGGTTTCACTGGTGTATTAGTTGGCGGAGAAATCAACTGGAAAGCAAACATCTCAGTAGTCGATAACTATCGTAAATGAGCCAGGTATAAGTCATTTTTCTGGTCATTGGTGTCCACCATAACTCTCGAGCTGTTATGCGTACCTGATTGTGAGGAAAAGCACCAGGAATGATGCTACGTGGGTGCAACAGTTAAGATGTGAAAGTCCACCGCATCCTGTTAACCGTCTCTCAAACGCAAAACCAAGCACGGTCTAACGCAAACCTGTTTAGTGGCCGGTGTTCATCGAACTGATCGGAAGTGTGGTGTAAAGATGGATGAAACATCAGTCCATGGCCTATTTAGAGCGGTCGGGCGCACTAATTTCATTCTGTCAACTTCATATGGTCGGCGTGTTTTTTTCTGCGCACATTTTGAGTATTGGTAGCGTTCACTATTAACCAGCCTGTCTTTCGAACCCGAACCCGGCTTTTTGACTTCCGCCGACTATGCTTAAGCATCTAGGCAATACCTTTACCTTCTGGTCGTGCAAGTTGCTGAAAGGTCGCTTCTTTATTATGTCCAACCGGAATATGCGAAGACTGGTGCATCTACGAATTGCGAAAACTTTAGCAGAAAACGCAGCATCAAGAAAAGCCTTTGTGTCTTAACAGTCGAGAACGACACGAGTGTCTTCTGTAATTACTGAATTTGTAGGTCTGGTCGAAATGCACTTTCTCCGGTGTTTTTTATTTGTGTCCGATTAATCTCGATGGATTGGCTCCAGGAAAGCAGCGGTCAAAGAAATGCTGAGTGAAAAAGTTGGCTCATTAATTCACTCGCAAAAACACCGACTGGAAAGACAGGCCGAACACCTCCAAAAGCAGTTTAGCTGGCTTCCTGCAACACAGCCCGTGGAGATAGTGCGTACGGGCGAATGGAATGTAAACCTTAATCGACCCTGAGAAGTAAAATACGAAAAATCGGTACTGAAACGTGGGAAGGCACCAAGACGAGAGGATCTGTATCCAGCCCCCTTCATAGAAGGCGGAGAATCACTGGTGACATCTGACAAAACTAATTGGTGCGATATAGAGTGAAGTTATTCCTGTGCTTAAAAAGAATACCCGAACGCTGTTTGAAAACGACCATGGCACCAGCCTGGTAGCTGTGGTGACCTTTGGTCTTATCCTTCTAAGGTTGACTGCTTACAGCCGCTGTACGCCAACTCCCCCGCGTGAAGGTCTACGGGTAGCTGTCACCTGAGCTCACTACATCCAGTGGTGTCAGACAGGACTTCCTGTTTCGCTTTTTCCTCTCTAACTTCGTCACTGATATGATTATGGAACACTCACTTTCAGCCTCTAATGTCTGCGGGGTCGAGATGCTACCGGAGCGTCCGCACATGGATATTGAGTCCGCAGAGGATATGGTTCTTCTTGGATCTGATGCTGTGCTAAAACAATATTAAATAATCTAAATAATTCTGCCCGGCCGTTTGGCAGGCGCCTCACCTGTAAAGTGTAAAGTGCTACTGCAAGACTGGGTGGGCTGAATCCTAGCCTCGTGCTTGTGGATGAGCCGCTTGAGGTAGTAAACAAGTTTGTTTACCTGGGCAGCTGTATCAGTCTCGGTGGTCTCGCGGAAAAATGATATTTCCATCCAGGTTCGGAATGCCAGAAAAACTTGTTAACCTGCGTCACCTGTGACGTAGGTGCGATATTACCCTATCCATCAAGGGTCAAGTTTATAATGCTGCGGTGCGATCCATATTGCTACATTGGTCAGTAATCTGGCCGCCGAGCGCCCAGGACTTTCACCGTTTGACTATCGATATCTTTGCAGCATTGCCCGAGTCTAGTGGGAACACCGGATTAGCAATGCTGAAGTAAGTCGAATGATATTCGGAAGAAATAACTCATCCACGTTAGATGAACTGATCATGCTGGATAGGTTGCGCTGGCTTGGCCACGTGCTCAGTATGCCAGTTGACCGACGTGCTCGAAAGGCTCTTTTTTTCAGAACCACGTGAAGGGTGGAAACCAGCAAGGGGAGGTCAAACAATGACTTGGCAACGAAGTGTGGAAGGCCTACCAGCAAACGAGGCTGCTGGTCATTGTCGTCTTCCTGAATGAAATCGTTCAGCTGTAACACCCTTTGGGTGCCTAGCCGCCATGCCACACCAAGGAGGCACGAGGGCTGGGATACTGCAAGGTCGCCCAAGCCTAGACAGGGGAAGTCGAGTGGCAGAGGTCGGGTTCCAACCACGGACCTTCCGGTTAGTATATTCGCGCTCTAACCACCTGAACTATCTCGACCCCCTTCCTGAATGGGGACCCCGAGAGGGGACACATCAATGGTTAGACAGTGTCAGCTATGGCCCAGTCGCGCCCTCAATGGCGCTCGTGAGTCCAAGCTATTTCCTTCAATGTTTAGCTTCCCTCTCAATCCCCCACACTGAAAATTCACTGGCAACCCTGTATTAACGCATCATTTATATCACCTACCGTCTTTAGTGAGCAGCTACCACCTCCCTAAACCATCGGTGAACGAAACTGTGGCAGTTAGAACCACTGTAAAAGTACGCGGTTTTTATAGCTAATAATAATAATGAACCTTGCATTTTGTCTCACCGGTACGTGACACTGAAAAGAGTGAGAACTCTAAGACTGTCTCCAGACATCCACTGAATTTTCGTTGTATTTTAGATCCCAAAAGATTGGATCTTAACAGCCTAATGTCAAAATGTATCTTTTGCTACTTTCGGATTGCAGTTAGTAGGTGCGTGCGCACAGTCGATGAGTAAGCAGGATTTGATTTGCACGTATGGAACCCGATTGGAGAGACTACGGGCAACGCTTAATGATGAGCCGTCCAACCGATGATCTGGCGGTTTTCCAGGGCACTTGGTACCTGGGATTAGTGAAAACGAATCTCCACAGCAGTATCTAACTTTTGAGGTGACGGTTCCTCAGATGGCACGTTGAGTGGGAGTTACAGTTGCCCATCAAAAAACATACGTCACAAAAAGAATTGCCAAAGGTTCGGGTAGAGTAGATGCTTACTCAGTTCGTTCGAAAAAAGACAGTTCCGAACACTGGGTCGTCGTAAGCAATCACAACCTTTCAGTGGTTGCCTCTGAAAAGGTGGCAGTTGTGGTGCATAATAGGCTCCTCCTATTAGCATTCACACTTAAGTTAAATACAGGCGACGTGTTATGCGCTGAATGATTTGCGTAGATCAGCGTAATGCGCTCTAAATTTCAACAAGCGAGAAATTCTGGTAGTAAAAAAGGGAAACCGAGTTCTTTGGCTAAGGTGGGTCCGAAATAGGGCACTGACTGAGTCCCCAAGTCTGCATTACCATAGAAGAAGCCGGTGGCTGATAGCGCGGCTGAGGCTTCTCGGGTGAGGTCAGGCACCATAGAGGCCTACTGCACCTCTATCCACGAGGCCCTCAGAAAATTGTAAGATATTCGTTCGTATCGTTGTTTGTATGCGTGTAAATTCTGAAATAACTGAAATCAGTGCAGCAGTGTTATGCTCCAGGGTTGCTATCAGAGATGCTGTGGAAGGTGTGTGGAAGGTGAATAGCCGAAACTGTCACGAAGAGACTG